ATTCAGATCGCCCCACACACTTTGATACACGCACACAATCTTTTTCATGCATTGACCTCTCCCTATGCTCCCCTTCCCTTCACTTAGATTTCCACTGGTCAGTATTAGACCACTTTCCCTATAGTGACCACTTTCCAGTTCTCCTTTCTCCTACTTCATACGTACCACTTCCTAACTCCCCACGTTGGTGCTTTGATAGAGCCGACTGGCATACTTTCACTTCACTCTCTGCTATTCATAACCCTCCTTCCTCCCTCACCTCCATTTCAGAAATGATACAGTATTTCACAACTACAGTCTTAAGAGCTGCACATACAGCTATCCCTCGAACCTCAAGACCATATACCTCTAAATGTGTTCCATGGTGGAATTCTGATTGCACTAAAGCACTTCGCTTAAAACGTGCAGCCTGGAACAGTTATCGCTACAAAAGAGGTACTCCAAATCAACTATCAGCCCTTATCTCCTTTAAAAGAGCATCTGCCTGTCTTCGGCGTACAATTCGGAATAGTAAAACAAATAGCTGGCGAAATTATGTTTCATCAATTACATCCTCTACATCTATCTCAAATGTTTGGCGCCGTATCCATAAACTATCAGGCAAACATCCCCCCCATCCTACCCCCGTCCTCCATATTCAAAATACCCTCATTTCTGAACCTCTCCAAGTCGCTAATGAACTGGGTGATTATTTCAGCCAGGTCAGTAGTGGTTCTCACCTCTCTCCACACTTCTCTTCTATCAAAACCACCAGAGAAAGTACCCCCATTACCTTCACCCCATCCTCCGCTGAGTCCTATAATGCTCCCTTTTCTTCCTCTGAACTCATTGCTGCCCTACAATCGTGCCGCAACACTCATGAAGGCCCTGATGGTATTCACTACCGTATGCTTCGGCAACTCCCATCTTCCTCCTTATCCTTCCTATTAAAAATTTACAACCACATATGGACATCAGGAAATTTTCCTTCTAATTGGCGAGAAGCTCTTATCCTTCCCTTCCTGAAACCCAATAAATCGGGTACCCTCCCTCAAGACTATCGCCCCATCGCACTAACTAGCTGCTTATGCAAACTATTAGAGCGAATGGTGAACTTCCGCTTAATGTGGTATCTTGAATATCACAATCTCCTCTCTCCTTCCCAATTCGGTTTTCGCTGTGCCAGAAGCACAGCTGACCCCCTTGCTTATTTTGAGACATATATTACATCTGCATTTGCACGCCATGAATCTGTACTAGCTATATTCTTTGATCTAGAAAAGGCATATGATACGACATGGCGGTACCATATTCTCCAACAATTGACGTCTCTAGGCATACGTGGAAACATGGGTGTCTTCATAAAGTCTTTCCTCTCCCAACGCACTTTTCAGGTCAAAATTGCTACTGCCACATCATCTTTCTTTCCTCAAATCGAAAGGGTCCCACAAGGCAGTGTACTCAGTACCACTTTATTCCTTCTTGCTGTTAATGATATTGTCTCAGTTTTACCACCAGGAGCCCGATCATCACTATATGTTGATGATTTAACCATCTATGCCTCTGGCACATCCATACCAAATCTCTACCAATTTCTTCAATCTGCAATCTCATCAGTATCTTCCTGGGCCACAAACCATGGCTTCCGCTTTTCTACCTCTAAATCTTTCTCCATCCTTTTCTCTCGCTCACGTATAGGTCCCCTACCCCCACTCTTATTATATGGCACTCCACTCCAAAGCCGTTCCTCTGGCAAATTCCTAGGCGTCATTTTCGACTCCAAACTGACCTGGCGAGACCATATTCTACACATTAAAGAGAAAGCTCTCCGCCGCCTTCGAATTTTAAAAACTCTATCCCATATATCATGGGGCTCAGATCGCAAAACTCTTCTTCATCTTCATGTTACTTTGATCCTCTCCACTCTTGATTATGGATGCCATATCTACTCCTCTGCCTCAACTTCTCTCCTTGCCCATCTCGACACAATCCACCACTGTGGTCTTCGCTTAGCACTAGGCGCCTTCCGCTCCTCTCCAGTTGAGAGCCTATATACTGAATCAGGCATACCATCTCTATCTCGACGTCGTGCCCTTCTCTCTCTCCGATGTTATGTTCGATTCCACCAACTTTCCCTCGCTAAACTAACTATCCCACAATCCCTACTTCCTACTTTAGCTTCATCTCCACGATTACCTACTCCTTTCTCCACTCGCATGGATACCCTCCTCTCCCATTCCCCTTTCCCCCAACTCCAACCTCTCCCGTTCTCTGTACATTCCGTCCCTCCATGGCTTATACCTCAACCCCATATTTGCTCTTCTGTTTTCCCCGACCCACCAAAATCAAATATTCCTCCTACTGTCCTTCTCATCCATTTCCTTGACCATGTCTCCACTCATTCCTCTAGTATACACGTATATACTGATGGCTCTAAATCCACCTCTGGTGCTGGTTTTGCAGTAATATTCCCAACTCGTACTTTCAAATACTCCCTTCCTCCTGAATCCAGTGTCCTTACTACAGAACTGTATGCACTCCTTTTTGCCCTAAAACACATATACTCACTCTCCTCTTCCTCTTTTACAATTTTTACTGACTCCCGTAGCTCATTAACTCTCATAAAGTCAATACACACCACTAACCCCCTTGTTTGTAAGATCCAGAACTGGTTGTTCTACCTGTCCACACGCCATAAAATAATCAAATTTTGCTGGGTGCCCAGCCATGTTGGAATCCCTGGCAATGAACAGGCAGATACACTAGCACGCCACGCTGCTATGTCCACATCATACCAACCACGCTTCTCACGTATACCAGCCACGGATTATTACCCACACTTTAAGACCTTCTTGTATAACCGATGGCAATCCTTTTGGTCAAGACTCCACACCAATAAATTACATTCTGTAAAACTATCAATCTCCTCCTGGTCAGCTCCATTTCATCGGAACAGACGTTGGGAGACTTTTACTCTATTTCCCATTGATTGAATTGTAATTTCAACTGATTTCTTTATACAAATCTAAGAAGAGCTGATATAAATTGTATAAAAAGGCAAAAACATATTTAGTAATTTTAAGAAAATGCCAACAGCATCTGGTGTTCCCAGGCGGTCACCCATCCAAGTACTGACCAGACCCACCGTTGCTTAACTTCGCTGATCGGACGAGAAGCGGTGCTTTCAACGTGGTATGATCGTTGGCATTAATCGTGTAACCGTTTGCCACTTTTATTCATCTAATGATATATATTTTACTTTAGCATCAAACTTCATTACCATGACATTCCAGTCACATCACTTAATCGACCACAATCGGGAGTATTGGTAATTCCTACTCTATTGTCACCACTTTCATCTGCAGCCTTTTACTAATTATCGGGCAGTGCAACTCTAAAGAATGCAAGGTGTACAATCAATGCATAAGAAATCGAGTTACATGATGTGTATATGGTTTTAAGTGTGTGCACATGCAACTGTACATCTTACACACAGCTAAAAGATGTAGCAGAAATCCTGATCATTATTCCATCTTGAATTTTAATAGCTTACAAATAACATTTTTGCCATTATTGTGCTGTTCTTGTTATCAGTATATTTCGTTGTATCACTGTTGTCACTGTTGATAGTTATACATCTATGCGTTTCCGGTTTATCCTCCTCTCTCAATCCGTCGGCATTGACTTTTAGTCTATTTCGTATTGATTGAAGTATAATTTCTATCGATTTCGCTATAAGTTGCAAAAATTGATAAAGAAATGTACAACATACTTAGCATATATGACAAAATGCCAACAGCATCTGGTGTTCCCAGGCGGTCACCCATCCAAGTACTGACCAGACCCAACGCTTAACTTCGCTGATCGGACGAGAAGCGGCGCTTTCAACGTGGTATGATCGTTGTCATAAGTATGGTAAACGTTAGCCCTTTTTATACATTTTAATATAATGCATAATTTACTTTAGCATCAAACTTTATTATCATGACATTCCAGTCACATCACTGAGATCTGCTCCTTAATGTCTGTATCAACTCTAATCGACCACTATCGGAATTATTGGAAATTCCAACTCTATTGACACCAGTTTCATGCATCTGTCGTAAGCCTTTTACTGATTATCGAGTTGTGCAACTCTTTAAAGAATTCAAGGTGTATTAGTAATGCATAAGAAATTGAGTAAGATGGTATGTATATGGTTTTAAGTGTGTGCACGTACAACTGTATCTCTTGATTGCTTACAAATATCACTTTTGCCGCTATTGTGGTTATCTGGCACGGGAAAGCTAACCATAAACAAAAAGGTCAGGTGTCGACGGATTAGTACCTCCAATTCAATGACAGGAATATTTCAATCTGTAAGCAAATGTATTTTATATGTGTTTTTATAATTTTCACAGAATTTCTTGCACATAATTAAATGATATAGCTAACCATAAGCAGATATGTTGATTATTTTTGAATCTTGAGTGCTTTCATATAACACTTTTACCGCTATTGCTGTTAAGAGTATTTTAGTTGTAGTTGTATTATGATTTTTACTAGTATTTTCATTATTATTATCACCAACATTTTCATTGTTAGTAGTCTATAATAGTAACTGATACCATTATAATGATTAATGTATATGATAAGCTTCTTGTCATTGATACTGGTGATAATATTATTAATGATAATTTGAACAAAGAGTAAATGGTATTAAAGTTGAAAATGATTACCCTACCAATAGAAATGATGATTAATAAACCAATGATTTTATGAAATTAATGTTATTAGTCATGGTAAGAAATAACAGTCATGGCGACCATGGCCATCTTGTTAATAATGATACAGCCAAACCAATTACGGGTAGGGAAGATTAGATAGAACTCCTTCATAGCCGAATATTTAGAATCTGACAAAAATCCAGAATTCTGCACATGAATTGTGTTTCAGCACTTCATAGGACTAAAATATTTTCACTCTAAACTAAATAATCTGTCAACTTAATGACTTATTTGCTGGCGCAAACCAGTCTTAGTCTTACTATATAATTTTAATGAACCCACCGACTCATTAAGACTCATTGAGTTGTTCCCCTCCACGGAAATCTTTAGTAAAAGGCGAAAGCGTTATGCGTTTTGAAGGGAAACCAGAGTTAAGTAGAAATGTTCACCCAATGACCAGCAAAGGTAGACTGAGGAATACTAGAGCGATAAATATATCCCTGGTAAGATATGGTTGAGTTTAGTTCCAGCTCCATGACTTATTAGTTCTTCAGATATTCTTATAGCTCACCCTTTAATAAGATAATCTTTTTAACATCTTTAGTATACTTTGCTCCGCGCACACTATATTTTGCTTTATAGTATTCTATCAAATAGGAGTAGAACATGCAAATGTTTTGGAATGGCCAAACTATGTGCATATATTACATCATACATATACCAACATGTGAACGCGTGAAAATCTAGTATAGTAGAACGAAGTCCTCAGTAAAACGTAGTCTGTGAGTGAACTTGTCTTTGGAAAGCATGATCTTACTTTATAGGATCACTTCTATAGTGCGATTGCCGGGTTTCTCGCCGAGATTCTCGGAATATATTCAATCACGATGAGGACTGTTAGTGTAATCCTCTGAGCGGGAAGCGACTTTCAAGTGTTGTGCTTGAAATTTGATGACCGTTCTGACTCGGTTTACCGATGTTCAGAGGAGGATGACACAGGCTGAGTGGTTGAATATCAATCCACAAGAAGAATTCTTAAACTTTTGTAAACTCCTGACAAGGAGAAAAAAGATACATAGTAATAAAACTGTGAGCTTACTGCTTCGGATGTCCTGATAATAGAAGAAAACTTGAACAGAAAGTGTAAGTAAACGGTTTTCACCTCTTGTAATTAGTGTTATTTTATGGTGTTAAGTTTACGCTAAATTTTAATTGATAAACATTTTTTTCGTAAATATAGGTACTGGTACTTACTACTAGCAAAACCATTGCATAGTATTACCATTACTTCTTTGTCTACGATTGATGTCATTCATGGAACAGCTTTTATTATATATATCACTACTGCAATGTGTAGATACCTCCTCTAAATTCTGTACCCCCCCCCCTTACTTCCTGTAAATATGTGGCCCGGTAGAATGAATGGGCAACCGCATGTCATTATCGTATTGGATAGTAATACATAAATGAGTGAGTAAAAGTGCTATATATTATGACTTGGTACATGATACTAACAGGATTGTAAACCCATGCATGCATGCATATAATTATTTAGTGGAACTTATAGTCTACTAATTTCTCTGGGTATCACCAGCGAAGTTATATTCGAGTCATTGCCATGGAGGATATTGCATATCTATATAAAATAAGCGACTGCATTACTCGTTTACTTTATATGCACGCAGAAGTCTGTGGAGGTATATGTCGCCAGCTTTCACAAATGTCATGTTTTAGTGTATTGTGATGCTACTTCCCACCGTATTTACATTTTGTTAAACTGCATTACCGAGCCGATCTCCGGTAACGATGGAGCAAATCCGTAGTGGCTCAGCGAGGCTCACCATTGCACTCCGGTGGCGCTGACCCCTGCGATTTCGAGTGCGCAATTTTTGTTAGCGGGGGACTGCGTTCGCGCTATCCCCCTTAAAACCTATCCAGTTACAATCTTGTCTTCAAAATTCCCTGAAAAAAAAAATTAAGAAGTATTATTACTATTCTTGGTTACTAATAATTTCTAGAATCAGATGTTAACGTTGCCGAGTCAGTATGTCTTGACGTAGCAATTCTTAACTTTTTTTTCGATTACCCAAGATACTCATGACTTATCTATACTGGTAAATTAGTCTGTAACATAACATGAATTTACTGAGCAGTATTTCTATATTTACGATTTAATGTCAGGATAGTTTAAGAAAGCGAGACAAAAGAAAATATCCGTTCTATACAGTGCCAAATTAGGCTTCATATGGCCATTTAAAACATTCAGAATATTTCCAGTGTGATATAATATATTTTGGAAGTATGTATTGGTACGTACAGTTGCTAAATTGAGCTAAATTAATATATGTGCAAATTTACCATTTTTCAAAAGTAGCCAATGCCATGGTTCTACCTGCGAGTTTCTGCTTGAGCCCTACTGTTGAGTGTATGGAACTCATGGTTGTGTCGCCCCCATAATTAATGTTTTTGGTAATGTACCTTGGGTAGGTAAACCCACGCTAATACACGTTCACACACACATGTGAACATACACAGGCATTTGCACATACTTTCATTGCTCGTGTTGATTTGTATACCGGTTCAGGAATTCTGAAAAAAAAAAAAAATTGGTTGTGAATAATTAATACATGGCTATCGTTCATATTAAAAAGTGATTATGAAATTTTACAAATTCTTGAAAAAAAAAAAAAAAAAATTGGTTGTGAATAATTAATACATGGCTATCGTTCATATTAAAAAGTGATTATGAAATTTTACAAATTCTTGAAAAAAAAAAAATCCAATAAACGAACCTTTTAACACTTCCTTTATTATATTACTGGAGCCAGTCCACGGTGATGACTTAAGCCTCACAAAACCATTAATTTCATTATTATTTTGAATATATAATTATTAACTTATTCTGATTCACGGAAACCTAGTAGTGCGGGATTCGTAGATGAAAATATAAGGTCTGGTTTAAAATCAACCGAATAGAAATCAAGACCGTCATCAGGTACAAAATTAAGTACTGAGAAAAAACATTAGTCTCTGTATATAAGAAATGAGTAAGACTCATTTCCTCTCCTCGGAAATCTTCACCGAAAAGCGAAAGATTTATGCGTTGTGCAGGGCAACCAGTTGCCTTAAAATTTATGTCCTTAGATTTAACAACTGAAATACAAATGTCGTATATGGTAGATATTACTCTTTTAAATAATCTTATACCAAGGTAATAATAGTTTGAAAATTCGTGAATCTATATATTCTTAACAAAACAGTAAATTAGTATACGTTCACTTTGGGAAAATTAATTCACAATAGCTATGGATGAGTTTAATCCGATTTTCTTGAAGCATAGTCCATGAGTTTAAAACTTAATACTTCGTTGGTAAATCAAGGAAAGTACAAATGCTCACCACATATTATTGGTACTTTGCGGGTGGATGGTAGAAGGGAGCAGTTATTAAGGTAAGCACCCTTTTTAAATATTCATGCAACACAACGAAGACGTTAGCAGCTGACCGTGTCGCCTTGACGAGGAGCTCGAAGATGTTGGGAAAAAATATTGATAAAGTAAACAATATTAAAGATTATATCTTTAATAAAGCAGTGATATCCATTCCTAACAACTCGACAGATAAGCATAGAATTACATGACGGATGCCGTAGAATACCGTATTTCTCAACAATTAACAGTAACCCCACAGGTTTAGTCAACTATCAACAAAATCTTTTATAAAATTTAGAATATCACCCATGAGAGAATATTGTACTATTGTACTCACCAGAGAGGTCTCATTCCTACGTAGCTCAGAAAATTACCTTCCCGCATTCCTGACCAAGTAAGCAGCTGATTAAGATTAAGCATAACAAATGCCATACTTTCTAGAGAATTCTGCGATGCAGTTAAAGTCTGTAGTCTTCAGAATATTATTGAAGATAACTCGTGTATTGAAGCTCATACCACGAGTAGCCACAAATCAGACCGAACGGCGTGAACTACATAAAGTGTTACCTAATCTTCCCCTTCCAGCTGTGTGATCATAAAACCCTATCCTGCACTGCCCAGACCTCATACCTCCCTGGCTTTGTCACGTTCCCTGAGATGTCAGTAGGGGTCACTTTGGACTCGGCGATTTTGATTCAGGAGGAACCAAGCTTGTAGGAGACATGGTCTTGCGTCTCCAGTTGATGATACACACACACACACGGTTACGCATATGATCACATATGAGATATATATGATAGTCATAATAATGACACTGATAATTACAGTTATAATTATCTTTACTATATGCTGGTAATAATAACAACAATAATAACAATAATGATACAGATGATGACGATGGTAATAATAAGGACAGTTATAATGATAATAGAATGGTGATTTTGACTGATAATTATAGTAGTGAATGATAATTATTATTATTAGCATAAAAATAACACTGACAACAACAAATATAACAATGAAAACAATTTTAATAATTATAAACATTATTACAATAACAATTATTTTTGTTACTATCACTAATATTAACAATATAATCTGGATTTGTATAATTAATAGTTCCATTTTCATCATCGATATGGTCAGCCTCCTTAGCTCAGTGGTAGAGCACTGGTCTCGTAAACCAGGGGTCGTGAGTTCAAATCTCACAGGGGGCACAGGTGTTTAAATGAAGGAAGGTATATGTTGTACATTAGAGAAAGATTGCCCTTAGGTTGACAGGGTGTCATGCATTGCAGCGGTGTGCAACAAGCTCCACACTAATGATCATATTTTCTGTCTTATATTTAGCTCTTATGATTACAATAATTTTCATTAATATTATCAGTATTAAAATGGCTTCATTTTTGCCTGGGTTTGGTATATTAAAATATATATTGTTACACCAGCAACAATAGGAGTAGTTACGCAATAATAATGTTTATCGCGGTAAACACCTGAGTTTTTATACAGAATTCACACCAGTTTCCAGGTATTTCTAAGCTACTGTAAGGAACGCTTATTCTGCAACCCTTCCCGCGAGCACCCGACAATGTCTCCCTCTCCCGCGGATTTATCGCTCGAAGTCGCGTCCTTGTTCGAGCGCGGCTCTATATCTTTGGCGTCTTTTTGTGTGTGTGTGTTTTATTTTATTTTTTTTTTTCATTGCTTTTGCTTTTGTTTTAGTCTGCCTGATAGTCGTTCTCTTTGTTTCTTTATATATACTTTCGTTTTTACTGTGTTATCTTCTACCAGATCTTATTGATCATTTTTATTGAGTTCATTAGTCACTATTTTAAGCAATTTCTCTTTTACCTTTTTATAGTAAGTTATTTAGTTTGCTTGCTGACTCAGCATCGAGGGAAGGTACGACTTCTTTTCAAATGTCGTATTTTTGGTCACCTAAATTATTTTCATTTTCTCTTATTTGTATGTTTTTCTCTTAGTTTATGTTTAGACATCCTT